AAAAGAAAAAAAAAAAAAGAAAACGCGCATCCTCGCAAGGCGTCGAGCGAGGGACTTACGCCAAATGTGTACGCTCCATAGGCTCAGAGATTTGGCTTTTGCAGGGAGCTCACTTTGAGTGCTTATAACTTTTTCCACACCAAGGATTCACATATGGTCCAAAAGAAGAACTTGTGCGCCTGAATCTGGCACCTAAGGTACATATTTTTTTCCCCGAGGAATGTGCTCCCCTCTGCAAAAAAATGTGCTTCAAAGATTGGGTCTTAGCAGCAAATTTGGACTCGTGAGAGAGGTTACATGTGTAATCCTCTGTTAAGAGCCAATATTGGATGCACATTTTAGGCAAGAGGGAAGCACTTTCCTTGGGAAAAAATATGTACATTATGCGGAAGAGGCAGGCGCTCAACTTTTCCCTTTGGACTATACCCAAATCCTCGGTGTGGAAAAAGGTATAAGGCCTTGAAGCAAGCTCCCTGCCAAACCCAAATCTCTGAGGTTTTGGAGCGTACACATTTGGCGTAAGTCCCTCGCTCGAGATGCGCGAGCGTGGGACTTTGTTAAGTTTATCGCTGTTGTAGAGTTATGGGGTTACACGACTGCACCACAGCGTGTCACGTGATGTTGTACAGTCTCTGCTTTGTAGTCAAGTCTCATCTCTCCGGGAGAAGCTTCCACATCACCAACTACTGTGGAAGCCGATTCTGGGAGTGAGCACTGACGTGCTATCGTACTATCTGCTATAGGTTATGAGCTGCGCTATCGTTGAAATCGCCTTTTAAATCTTGCAAAGCTCGTAGTGTAAGTCTGAACTGCCAGTCAGCATCCGGTCATATGTCAGTAGCTCGCACTCCCCCGAAGAAATTGTCACGTACCACGGAAAGTAGTATCCAAACGCGGTCGCAGTCACAAGCTTTATCGTCTCGTTCGAACTCCGTCAATTGTCACGTACCACGGAAAGTAGTATCCAAACGCGGTCGCAGTCACAAGCTTTATCGTCTCGTTCGAACTCCGTCTCGGGATCTCAAACCGGAGGAGAAACATCGACTAGGGAAAACACACCCTTAGCCGGTACTCATTCATCTTTGAATCATCCCTTCACTGAAAACCCCCCCACAAACTATCTGAACCCTGCTCTACTATTGAACATCGGACATTGTCGTCAAACCATTTTTCATCATACTCAAGAATTGGATCATTTATCGTTGAACGAAGACACTGCAAGAATGTCACAACCGGACATCTCTACGGATAGACTCAAAGAGTTAAATCGCAAGCACGATGATGTGCATAAGTTTACTACTGGAATCGAACATCTAGCTCTTGATGGATCCAACATCGCTCGATGGAAGTTGCGCACCGCAAGAGCGGTCTACGAGATGACGGACGTTTCTTCCTACTGGACGTCTCAGAGGCCAGATGAAGAGTTGGAGATTCAGATGGCGATCGATCGATGCGCCGGACGAGTCATCAACTCAACGATTCACGAAGACCTAAAGGACCTGATCGCCGATAAGTCTCTAGCTCACAATGCGATGTTCACTTTGGATGAACTCTTTTGCCAAGGTGGTAGGACCGCTCAATACGTTACTTTTCGCTCCATCATGCTCAGACGCTACAATCCTGCTTCTACCAACTTAATGACCTTCATCAACGATGTGAATAAAGATTTCGAGAAACTCAAATCGGTTGGTTTTACTTGGGATGAGGATATCGTCAAGGGTATGGTCTTTCAACTCTGTGCCCCAACTACTGGGGAGTATGGTATGGACATTATAAATGCGACTCTCGACGCGCAATACCAGCTAGACAAGAAACCCTTTTCCTCTACTGAGGTACGAGCAGCCATGCAAAATCTCATCACAACTCGTAGAACGGTACATGAGAGTGAAGGGATTCAAGCACTCAGCAGCTCTTTCGCTCAAATGAACACCGGCAATTTGAATAACCGATTCGACAATCAGCCTCGATTTACTCCTCCGCGTTACTCGACTCCCAGTAAACCAATTTTGATGAACTTTACTGGACCTACCCCTCCGGGCCCGATTTCAGCTTTGATCAAAGACAGAAACAAATCGGAAATCAACCCGATCAAGCCCGGACAAGCAGCAGCTCCCAAAGTACTTCAAGGCCTTTTTCAATGCTTTCATGGTGGCGTGTTCGGTCATGGAACTCAGCGTTGTCCTCTTTGGATGAAACGAATCAATCGCACGGCGCCTCACTTTTGGGATTGGAGAAAGACGAATCTCAATAGATTTTACAGTATACAAGCTTTAGGCCTTAATCCCTCTTCAATCTCGGCTCGTTAAATTCAAGTAGAACATACTCCTTCATCATATACGCCATCTCAAGTATCGGCATCAACCGTAGCTTGGAGTGCAGAAGGCAATCAACCTGACTCTGTCCCCACAGAGTATTTGTTGGACAGCGGTGCCACGCATCATGTGAGCAATGCGTTGCCTCTTCTGTTGAACCATTCCCCTCTTCCCCATCCTATCAGATTGAAAACAGCCGCTCAAGGTGACAACGCTCTGATTGTAGGAAAAGGAAACCTCCGAGTGAAGGCGACGAACGGATCTGATGTCATCATCACAGATGTCTATTACAGTCCTCAAGCTACAGGAATGCTTATTTCTCAAGCAGCGCTGGTCAAAAATGGAGCAAAGTTATGGTTCTGGGGAAATGATGTTATTTTGAGAATGAGAGATGGTCTATCAGTAGCAGCTTCTTATTGTAATCGGCGCTGGGTTATAAATGCAATCCAAACTCATGTTATCACCAAAAAAGAACCTGAGAGAGTAGGCTGTGTGAAAGTGATGAGCACTCAGCAAGATACCGATTTAGCCTTTCTTTGGCACAGACGTTTTGGTCACGTACACTGCAGACATTATTCGGGTTCCCCAAGTGGGCAGGGAAAAATGATTGGGAGTATGATTTGTCATAAAATGGTCTATCACTCCACACCTGAGCCATAACACCCACACTACATATGTGTAGCAGGCTCAGTGAATATGTGGTTATCATGTACATACAGTTCTGCTCAGTTATCTGCTCATCAGGACAAGTTATTCATATGTAATACATGCTGTAACTTCTTTCAGATTGAAAAAAGCTTCCAAAAGATTGACTACATACACTGACTCAATGTTTTGGTGTGATCTCATCAACTCAACTGCATGTAACACACTTTCTGTTACTAAGACATAGCTTCAACAATATTGCCTGAGCAGCTACAGAATTATATGTAGTGAATTTTTGGGAAAAAAATTTCAAAGTCGAAAAAGTTACATGTGGTATAACATGTGATTTATTTATTCTGATGGGCAAAAAACTGAGCAGACCTGTATGTACATGATAGACAACTATTGACTTAGCTTGCTGCACATATGTAGTGTGGGTGAAATGGCCCAGGTGTGCAGTATTAGATTCTTTTATGAAAAACTGTACTATTAATCATTTTCCTCTGCCAAATTGGGGAAGTTGAATGATGTTTACAGTGGTAGACATGAAGAGAATTCGCAAGCTTTGCGCTGGCCAGCTAGGCCTAGGCCTGCCCTTGTCTATTCCATCCACTTCTTTCACCTGTGAAGATTGTTTGGTATGCAAGAGCACAAGACAGAGGAAGTTGGGGAGATCAGGAAGAGAACACGGACTTTTAGACATCATCGTATCAGACGTCATGGGCCCTTTCCCTGAAGATGTGAATGGTAACCGTTTTACAGTCACTTTCAGAGATGTAGCAACAACTTTCTCAGACATAGTCATCATTAAGAATAAATCAGAAGTACCTGACACTTTCACTCGTGTAATCAACAAATGGGAAAGGGAAACTGGCTTTAAAGTTAAACATGTTAGAACTGACGGAGGAGGCGAGTACATAAAGACAACATTCAATTCTTGGCTGAAATCAAAAGGCATTTTTCACGAACACTCGAACCCTTATGAACCGGAACAAAACGGTGTGGCAGAGCGTCTAAATCGAACCATAAGTGATATGGGTAGGACGATGTTGGCAGCATCACATCTACCGCAATCATTCTGGTCTTTCGCATACGTGGCGGCATGTTACCTTCATAACAGACTTCCTAACTCGCTGACTGGGGACAAAACACCTTTTGAACTCTTCTACGGACGCAAGCCTCAGTTAGACATCATCAGGACTTTCGGATCGACAGCTTTTGTACACCGACATGAAGCGCAGCGTAGTGGTAAGCTAGACAATTGAGGGAGAAAGTGCGTGATGGTGGGTTACTTAGATGGTGGTAAAGGCTGGATCTTCTACGATGCTGGCTCGAAGGTACTACTCAAGACCGGCATCGCAGTCTTTCCATATGAAGATAAGTTCGTACATGAAAAATCTTCATCCTCACCAGAAGAACCTACTTCATCTACCACTTTGAACAAGCTACTGAACATACCACCTAAGAAGGGAAGTTTAGAATTCATTGTCAATGCGCTACAACTTGGCAATTTCTCAGACAAAATCAAAGTACACCACGAGGACGCGCAAGTAGAAGTCTTAACAAACTCAGTGAATCTGTCGGCTGGACTGAAAGAACCTCTATCATATACCGCAGCTATGAAAGACGAATACGCTAAGGAGTGGAAAGATGCTATTGACGTTGAGCTGAAAGCCATGGACGACATGGGAGTGTGGAAGATTGTAGACTGCCCCGCCAACGTCAACACAATCAGCCTCAAGTGGGTTTTCAAACACAAGCAACTGGCTGAGGATGGAACTCCAATCAAATTTAAAGCTCGACTAGTCGCTCAGGGATTCTCACAAGTCGAAGGAATCAACTATGACAAAACTTTCGCTCCTACGGCCAGCATGGCATCTCTTCGTTTTGTCTTAATTCTCGCAACAAGAATGGGATGGGTTGTCCATTCTTTTGACGTGACGGCTGCATATCTTCATAGTGACATCATGAACAAACTGTATTTTAGATTGCCACCGGGATGTATGGAAGCAGCGAGGAAGGCTAATAAGGTTTTGGAAGCGGTAAAAGCGTTGTACGGAACTAAACAGGGTGCGAGGTGTTGGTGGAAGCATATTGACAAGATCTTAATCAAACTAGGTTTTAAACCATGTCAGTTTGATCAATCTCTATATATTTGCAAGCGGGGTAATGAGGTGTGTATTATTTGGGTGCATGTAGATGATGGGGTTGTGACGGGTAGCAGTGTGGAGTTGTTGAGAGAGTTGTCGAAGGCGTTGACTGAAGAGTTGAAGATCAGAAGGCATGGATGTGAAAAGATTAGAGGATGGTAGTTTTGAATTATCTCAAGCTGGTTTAACGAACAAGATCGTCAGAGACTTCCTAGAGACTCCCGGGAAGGCAACTACGCCTTTAAACGCATCAAACTTACCTTCATCGCCGGAAGAGGACGAAATTGAAGTCGACAAAACAAGATACCTTTCGGTCATAGGATGTCTCAATTATCTTGCGGTAGCTACTAGACCAGATCTCACCTACGCTACGAATTTCTTGGCAAGATTCTCGGCTAGACCTACGGCTCAACACTGGGCAGCTATTCAAGGAGTGATGCGTTATCTCAAGACTACCGGGGTTGTGAAGTTACATCTGAAACCGTTGATGAGCGAGGTGAAGACGGGGCTACATACTTATGTTGATGCAAATTGGGGAGGGGAGTACTCAAGGTCCGTCCATGGATACACGACTTTCTTTCTCGGATGCCCGATTGCTTGGACGTCGAAAAGACAAGGTTGCGTAGCAACATCGACATGTCATGCCGAATACATGGCATTGGGTACAGCAGCAAGGGAAGCGGTGTGGTTGAGGAATTTAGTGGAAGATGTGATAGGTGCAATGGGGCCGGTTAAACTGTTCTGCGATAACACTTCAGCTATTCACGTATCGAAGGACAATTCTTCAAACAAAAGAACCAGACATACTGATAGGGAGTTCTATCAAGGCTGCCACTATACTATACCAGTATATTATACTGTTGGTATAGTATATTTCAAGTATACTGGAATACACCTCGAGGCACGAGTTGGTGGAAATGTCCACTCTCGTGAAAGGTCTAGATTAGGAGTGACACTTGGCGTCCGAGAACTTCTCGGAAGAGATTTGTAATTCGAAATCTCTCTAAGCCATTCAGTCACTCCTCATCTAGACCTCCACAGCGCTTAGCTCAAGCATAAAAGATAAATCAAAATAGTTTTAAAAATTCAAATTAGAAAATAAGACGTTTACAATGGATTTAAGAAATCAAATAAATCAAGCAACTGGAAATGTACAAAGACGATTAACTCGAGCTGAAGCAGCGGCAACTGGAGCGCAGTTGGCAGAGAGGTTGCCTACTCCTAGAAGAGGACAACCAGCAAGGAGAGACGAAGAAAGGAACGAAGAAGACGAAAGCGAGGGGAGAAATGAGGAGGAATCACACGTACCATTGCGAAGACAAGCAATAGAAGAGGAAGACGAAACAGAGGAATGGGGAGGAATTAAAGAGGTAGAAGACGACGAGCAAGTCAACGACGATGATGAGATACTCGAATTTGAGAGGTTAAAGAATGGTAAGACTAACAGTGATATTACTGACTTTCCTTATCCAATGTCCTTTCTTTTCTCTTTATTTCCTTTTTTCCTTCTATTTCCAAATTTCTTTTTCTTTTCTTTCCCCATCTTTCCCCATCTTTTTCCCTTTTTATTCTCCTTCCTTCTTTTCCCCCTTTCCATCTTTTATATATGAGGTATGAAAAAACAGATTAGGAACGATGAACGAAGAGGTTGAACGGGAAGGACAATCGAAGCCTGGCCCGGCTACTAATAGGTGCCCAGCCTAAGAATTGGCTTACAGTAGATATCTTAGCCTGGCCCGGCTGCAAATAGGCGCCCAGCCTAAATCGGCTAACAATAGATGATTAGCCTAGTCTGGCAGGAGAATAAGACTCAGCCGAGACGGGCTTACAATACGTGCTATCCGTTATCATGATCCTTTTTGATCCTCCGCTATCCGTTATCATGATCCGTTGATCCAATTTCCATCAGTCGAATCATCCAACACCACATCGTAATTTCGTTTGGAAACCCAGGTACTGACACATCGAATGGTTATTGTCATCTGTAGAAGCGAGGCGAGAAACCTTAGTGGAGATGATCCAAGAGGCGTTTGATCGAGACGATATAGAGGGAGCAAGGAAACTTACCGAGAAACTACATCGAGAGGAAGCGAGGCAGTCAATGCCACAACAGACACAACAACGCCGGAACGCCTACGTCTTCGACGAAGAGTCATCGAATGATCCAAACGAACCTCGCACTGGCCAAAGAGATCGCGAACGTGCGATGCACGAACCAGCGCAAAGAACACCAAGTGTTACGTTCTTGAGAGAAGGGAGGCAAGTCGTCGAGAAGGAAGCGAGAAGCGGAGCTAATGGTGAAGGCGAAGAGGGGTGGTTCCATGGTTCAAAATCGGAGGAAGAGTCTAACAAGGCAAAGTCAATCATGGCGGCCAAGAAAGGATCATTAACTTTGTCAAATGGCGACATGATCCATAATGGACAAGTGTTTAGATGTGGATCAGCGAAAATGGAAGACGCACTGACTCCTTTGTCACCTCACCTCACGACAAAGTTAAAAGCTTTGAAATCATTTATCCCGTTACCGGTTTTTGATGAAGACTTCTTGATGAAAGATCAGAAAGCATGGTCTCTTCTACCACCAAAGTCAGAAGATAAAGTTGAAAAGGAAAAACGGATGTATGGGGGGGAAGGACCGGTGGAAGAACTCACGATGAATTTTGAAGCATG